CAGTTGCATCCCTCTTTTTCTTGGGATGCGCCTTAGGTACCTTTCTTTATTTTTGCAAACACTTTGTCTCGTTCTTTGCGCTTCTTATACACGCTAAAATGACTTATATTAATCTATTATCCCACATGGCCTTGAATTTGCAATTTTAAACTACTCAAGTGAATTTCATTTAACTCAAAAGGGAATTCATTTTGGAGTCGACACTGCATAATTGGAATCCTTTAGTTCCCCTACACAAAGGATCTTTGAGACATGAATGTCACTCCAGCATTCCTTCTTTATCAACCTGCTCACATACATGGCAGGCTTGTGGATCATCTCAAATAAGTTCTTTTGATTTCTCCCCATTACTTTATAAATAGAATTGTAAGTGAAGAACAGGGGGGAAATCACGTGCATTTACCCATAACTAGTGTGAAAGAGCAGCTGATCCCAATGCTTTATTTTTGCAATACAGATTACAGAAGATAGAATTGGCTTTTCTATTTTGCATTAACAATATTTGCTGTAGGCTGCCAAGGTAGCCCCAAGAGGCTTTTTCTACATTTGGCTCAGGTTGCAGCATCTCAAGCAGGCTCTTCTTTACTGGCGGTGTGGTTTTTTTTTTTTTTTGCCTATATCATGAAAAACCTTGCCCTGCATTAAGAGTTGTGTGCAATAAATGTGAGATGGAAATCCCAGTGAGTCATTTTAAAACCCAATGTTTCACTTGACCCCTGTAGTTTTACAATTTTCTGACAGATTGCTCTAAGGAAAACTGAGCATAAGCATTAATCAGGTGGGAAAATATCCAGCTGTAATCTCAGAAGGGGAGAGGCGAGGTGGACTATGTGGCTTGAGTGGAATGAAGTTTCAGGTGCTGGCTGAAAGGGGACCCCGTCATGCGGCCTCCTTCCAAGTGGCAGATTGTCAAAATGGTTTGCTGGGTATGGAAATAATTCTAGAACAAGCCTTTCCACCTAGGGCCTCTTTGAATGCACTGGCCTAAACTTCACAGATCAGATTATCCATACATGCATAAGAAAGAACCTGTGTGCGCATGTATGAAATATAACCTTGATATAAGCTTGTCTATATCAAGCTGGACAGCCATCAGTCAGAAACAATATAGGGTGTCCTGCTTGAGCGGGGGATTGGACTAGATGACCTACAAGATTCTTTCCAACTCTGTAATTCTATGTTCTATGTTCAGTCAGTCCAGTGGTAGGATTCAATTTTTTTTTACTACCGGTTCTGTGGGCGTGGCTTGGTGGGCGTGGCAGGGGAAGGATACTGTAAAATCTCCAGTCAGAGGTGGCATTTGCCGGTTCTCCAAACTTTTTTAAAATTTCCGTACCGGTTCTCCAGAACTGGTCAGAACCTGCTGAATACCACCTTTGAGTCAGTCTGTTCACAAATTTACCCTAGGACTGTCTCCTACTCTTTGACTCTTTCATAACATTTCAGATTGTTCATTGACCCCCATATTATGTTAATAGACCTCAATTTATGAGCAGCCACCTAACAACTGCTTGAAGTTACAACAGTACTTACAACCTGGTTCCAAAATTCCAATAGCCACTCCCTTCCCCCACAGTCATGTGACAACACATCATGCAGCCATTCATTTACGGCTGTTTGTAGCATCCCACAGTCACAGTAAACCATAATTTGCAACGTTTTTGCTGAAAACGGATGGTTTTTCCCCCCAGTTTTCAGCAAACTATGCCTCATAGCAATCAATGGATTCTTTTAATGACCATCACAGAAAAGTGATAAAATTGGGTCAGTCACTTGATGACTCACTTTATGACTACCACAACTTACATCCATAATGGGCAGGCTCCATTATGGTCATTAGTCAAGGACTACCTGTAGTTTTACAAGAATAATAAGAACATCTAAAAGGCCTAAGTAGGAAAATCAGAAAAAATAATAATGACAATCCTGCCCTTCATCCATGCAGCAGTGTTGGGAGGCATTGGAAGAATATCTGAAGGACAATGAAGAAAATGCACTGTGCTGGTTAGACAGTATATAGTTAGTTTGGGAATGAGAGCTGTCCCCTTAAGGGAATGCTTCATGGGAAATGTAGTTAATGCCTCTTGGGAGATGTAGTTCATGTCACCTGGTCACATCTGTAATCCTGATTGGTCACTAAATTGACCTCTCGTTGGGCTGAGGGAGTTTTTGGGCATGCTTACCTGGGCCCCAGCATTGTGCTGGAGTCTTCCTTTGGTATATCGTTATGGGATGAAGATAACCATCTTTTCACACTATGAAGATGATAGTGCAAAGATTGGGCATTAGATGAATCTCAGCATAACTGTGAGTTATACCTTGAGGATGCCTGATATAATCCAATAAAGTAACTTTGTATGGAAGCCTTTGTAGTGTTGAACTGCTTATCCCAGGAACTTTGGGAAGATAAAGTATTGCCTGGGATAAGAAATGCACTGAAGGTAGTATGTCACGAAGGCTTACTGAATACTGAATAGGCCGCACTGGCCTACAAGAAAGACCAAATGAAGATTAGAAAAGAGGCGTGGCAAGGCAAAGTATTACATGGCCAGGACATAAAATAACAACAACAACAAGAGACAAAGCAGATAACAACAAGGCCTGGCAATGGCTAAGAAGAAGAAAATTGAAGATAGAGACAGGGAGTTAATTCTGGCTGCACAAGACAGAACCTTAAGCACAAATGCATACAAAGCCAAAATTGAGAAGACAGCAAGGGACAATAAATGTCGGGTCTGCAAAGAAGCTGAAGAAAGAATGG